ACTATAACTGAGTCCACCCCAGGGTCTGCTTCAAAGTTGGCAGCCGTTACGTTCCACAAGGGCGGCCCGGCGGCATAGTAGCGAGCATTTTGCCAGAAGAAAAGCAAGAGCGGGATTGCCAATAGAAAAACACTCCCCGCAGCTTTCAACCTGGGAGTTGGGGCCAAACGCCAGTGGGGTGTCTCGCTGGGTGGGGAGTCAGGCAAAAGTAGCTGACCCAGCGTGAACAACATCGAAGTTTTTGTGGAAACGTATCTAGCATGAACGGTAGAGAGTCAACAACATCTATCCCTTGGCATCTTCCAAGTCACACTGCCACATTGGAAGCCACCACCAGAGCTGCCTGCCCTATGCACAAGCTGCGACGTGTCTGGAGGAACTTTTGGCGAAGCCGCAAGCTGAAAACGGCCATGCCAAAGAACAAGATGTACATCCCACCTGGAGTTGTGGATCAAGGATCCGGGCATTTTGCTATGACAGTCGAGTGACAGGAACATCCTGCCACGTGGTGGAATCCAAAAAAGAAAAGTAACATTGAGTAAAAGGCCTTACCAATTCATTTTGATGGAACTACAACCAAACAACGCCAAAAACCACGTTGAGCAAGTCCATGTCTCCCAACAGCTGAGTGTGTGAGTTCCACACTTTCGGCGAATAGTAGAGGAATGGCTGCTTCTCTTCAGTCAGTATCCATGATGGGCTGATTTCTCGCCCATTCCCGAGCATGTTCCCCATGATGCACAAACCTAACACGTCAGTTCTGCTGATGCTGCTCGGGATGTTGCCTGACAGGCGATTCCTGTGCAGTGTAATGTTGGCGGTCCGGTTTGGGCAAGCATTACACCATCTGGGGCAGTTTTTGACCACTTGCTGAAAGCCTCATGAATTCTTCCAGTGGTTGCATGTAAATCTGCTGCACAACAAGCTGCAGCCAAATGCCCATAACGTGAATCGTGGGTTGTCCATGCACGGGGTAGTCAGGCTTAACTGCGGAATGGCACCCACAAGCATGTTCTCGTGCAGCGTCAAAACTCCCAAGTGCTCTAAGTCTTCCAACCCCTTTGGCAGAAGGCCTGTGAAGGCATTCTTATGAAGAGCCAACACCACCAGCTCGGGTGCCTGGACTTCTGGAATGGCTCCCGAGAAGTAATTGTTGTTCAGAGCCAGGAGCTGCAAATTCTTAAGCTGCATCAACCATGGAGGCAACTCACCGCTGAGCTTGTTGTGGTTTAGTCGCAAATGCTGCAATGACATTCCAGCAGGGCTCGTAGCGCACAAAGGCTCGATGAGCTTCCAAATGCCCCCGACGAGCTGGTTGTGACTCAAATCGAGCTCTTCAAGCTCAACAAGGGGCAAGCCCATCACCAGCTCTCCCTTCAATAGATTAAAACTGAGGTCAAGACTCCTCAGGTTGGTGTTGTTGAACGCAATCTCCTTCAAATCGCCCTGGAGATGGTTCCAGGCAAAGTGTAGCTCCTGGAGTGACTGGAGCTGGCCGAGTTCCTTCGGGATTTCGCCACTCAGCTGGTTTCGGGCAAGGTATAGCACTTGCAGTGACTGGAGCTGGCCGAGTTCCTTGGGGATTGCGCCGCTCAGCTGGTTTTGGCAAAGGTCTAGGGCCTTGAGTGACTGGAGCTGGCTGAGTTCCTTGGAGATTTCGCCACTCAGCTGGTTTTGGGCAATGCTTAGGACCTGAAGTGACTGAAGCTGGCTGAGTTCCTTGGGGATTTCGCCACTCAGCTGGTTTTGGTCAAGGTGTAGGAACTCGAGTGACTGGAGCTGGCTGATTTCCTTGGGGATTGCGCCGCTCAGCT